TTAACAACAAGACTGCACACGCAGCCCACAAAGGGCTACACCAAGACTGTCCACTGCAGGTAACTGGGAAGGCTGTGCTACTGGGCTCTACCAGAACACCTAGCACACAAAGCTATTCCATCAAATCAGGGAAACAACTAAAATGCAGACAAGAAGAAGGACACAAAGGAAGGAGATGGAGGAAAAGAAAAGATTGGACATTGAGTTCAAAACTACAGTTATAAGGTTATTCAACAATATCCTAAAAAAGGCCGATAAAATAAATGAGACCTATGAGGATATGAAAAGGGAACAACTAGAAATAATAAGGGATCAACAAGAAATGAAGAAAACATTGTCTGAAATAAAAAATATTATACAAAGTCCTAAAAACAGACTGGAAGATCGCAAGAATCAAGACAAACATTTAGAACACAAAGAGCCAGAGGACACTCCTCTGCAGAAGGGAGAAGATAACAGAATCCAGAAAGTTGAAGATAATGTAAGAAACCTCTGGGACAATTTCAAGCGAACCAACATCAGAATTATGGGGATTCCAGAAGAGAGAGAGCAAGATACCAAAAGAGTACTAGAAGAAATACTGACAGAAAACTTCCCCCACCTCGGGAAAGAAATAGACTTACAAGTCCAGGAAGCCCGCAGAACCCCAAACAAAAGGAATCCAAGGAGGACCACACCAAGACATATCATAATTAAAATTTCAAGAGCAAAAGACAAAGAGAGAATATTAAAAGCAGCAAGAGAAAAGCAGGTAGTGACCTATAAAGGAGCACCCATAAGATTGTCAGCTGATTTCTCAACAGAAACCATGCAGGCCAGACGGGAATGGCAAGAAATATTCAAGGTGATGAATAACAAGAACCTACAGCCAAAAATAATCTACCCAGCAAAGCTATCACTCAGAATCAAAGGACAGATAAAGAGCTTCACAAATAAAAAAAAGCTAAAAGAGTTCATCACCACCAACCAGAATTATATGAATTGCTGAAGGAGGTTATTTAGGAAGAGGAAGAAGATAAAGATAAAAATTATGATCAACAAATACGTAGCTATCAACAAGTGAATCTAAAAACCAAGGGAATTTAAAAATCTGATGAACAATATTAACTGGTGAATATAATAGAATCAGAGGTATGGAAGGGGAGTGGACTGACGATTCTCAGGGAAAAGGGGAGTAGGGGTGCGGGAAGAGACTGAACAAAAACTGTGCACCTATGGATGAGGACAATGGGGGATGGGGAAAGGACAGAGGGTGGGGTGGGAACCTGGTGAAGGGGAGCAATTGAGGGGGGGAAGAGGATCACATTTGTAATAATCTGAACAATAAAGATTAAAAAAAAAAAAAAGTAACCAAATTCTGAATATTCTAACTCCTAAACATTTCAACCTGTTTTGTGTTTTTTTTTTTTCTTCATTTCAAGCTCTCAATATTTTGGTCAGTTTTGCTATAGCCTATTTATGGGTCTCTCTCTTCAGTTTTAGCATGCCAATTCATCCTATGTATTGTTTTCTTAAGTGGCCCCCCAGTATCTTCAGAATAAAATCCAAACTCCTTTGCATTACATACATTGCCCTCAAAAATCTATCTGGTCCTTGCCTATTTTAATAGCACTCTCATCAGTACCCTATATCATCCCATATTCCACTCATTTTAAAATATGTACAGGCTTAGCTAATTCATTATACTTGCCTTACTACACTTAGCAAACACTGCTTTGATTGTTTATTTGTTTGACAAATTGAAGGTAAGACCCTTCACTAGCAAGACTGTAAGATGATTTTTGCATTTTTAGCAATCAAGTATTTTTAAATTAAAGTATGTAATGCTATCATCACACACTCAATAGACTACAGTACAGTATAAACATAACTTCTATATGCACTGGGAAACCAAAATATTTGTGTTACTTGCTGTATTGCAATACTATTACGGTGGTCTGGAACAGAACCCAAAATATCTCCAAAGTATGCCTGTACAGTACCTAGATAGTCGTTTCCAGAATAAACTAAGGATGCTCTTCTCTTCTAAGGCTCAGTTCCCTTAGAGCAGTGTTTCCCAAAGTGTGGTACGCGTACCCCCAGGGGTACAGGAAGAGTTTGGTGGGGATATGCACTGCACCGTGCTTAGCTGCGCCTAATTCTATGTTCTCATGAGTACGAAGGGTACTCGGCTTTACGAAAATTATAGAAGGGGTACACATATGTCAAGTTTGGGAAACAGTGCCTTAGAGTAAAGTCACCAATTTAATGCCCCTTCTAACTCTAGGTTAATTCCAACTCCTACTAACTCTAGAAGATTCATCTCTACTATCAGCATCTTTTCAAACCTACTGACCTCCCTTTTTCCCTTCCATGATTACCCTATACTTTCACAGAATCTATGCAATAGAATTCTTGTTTTGGGGGTATATTTATGATGACTATTAAGTATCACAGTGCCTGCAACATAGTAGACACTAAATGTTTGTTTTATGAAGTAATATATGCATCTTCCATTGATGACAAGTAGATCTTTTATAAATAACTAGAATGTAAGCTGTTTTAAAGTGAGGACTTGTCTAAAACATCTTTGCCATTCCAGGGCCTATCACAGTGCTTGGAATATATTAAAAACTAAGTGATTGCCAGATGAATTACACAAATATTTCCAGCAGACATAGTAGATAATTTGGCACATAATTTTAAGTTTGATCTTCTTCTAGTTTTAAACTTGTATTTACTGATAATTTGTTTTACATTGGTTTGTGTTTTTTTTAATGAATTTTTATCAATTTCAGAGAGGAAGGGAGAGGGGAAAGGGGAGAGAGAAACATCAGTGATGAAAATCATCCATCAGTTGCCTAATGCATCCATCCTCCCTTTCCGGGGATCGAGCCCAAACCCAGGCATATGCCCTAAGAATCGAATCATGACTTCCTAATTCATGCATAGGTGGACTCTCAACCACTGAACCACACCAGTCGGGCTGTTTTGTATTGGTTTGTTTTTGTTTTTGTTTTTGTTTGGGGGGGGGGGGTAGTTGACTGATTCATTTTACAGCTTTTTAAAAATGGAGAATATTTTTGTATGCTTTCTTTTAGTTCCAAAAAGAAACTAATTACCAGAGGAAATGCCTTACATAAGCGTTTACAATATGAATTACACAGTGTTGACCTAAAAGTTGAGGTGACTCAACATTTTATCATTATTGGAGATCCTCCTCAGTTTTAGGTTTCACTATAATTTAATTGAAATAAAGAAAATCATAACTCAATAGCAGTCAGGACTCAAACAATGTAAACAAAATCAGACCCAATTTTAAATTTTAAAGTTAAGAATTTATCCCTGTAGAATCAACAGGATTGCTAACAGCGTATACAACTAAATACTGAGTTCTTAGTGCCACGTACAGTGCTCAATGTATGTTTGGGGATCACATCTATTATTTTTAAGAACATTGGACATAAGCAAATAGGAACCGAAGAAACTCAGACCACACTTTAATGTTTGATGTTTGCAGGCTAGGTTTCCAAATATGTAGATAGCATGACATTATGAGGCTGGCTTTGTTAAGAACACCTGAGCTAAGTAAGACTAAGGAATTATAGACTTTTAGTAGAAAGTCACTAGAAACAAAGAGGTGTGGTTGCTTTAAACACACACACACACACACACACACACACACACACACATTAGGAAGCAACGACTTTGAAGAGGATGAATCATCTTATTTCCATTTTCTAATGTATCTAAAAAAAATCTTCAAAATACTGAATGGGTATGTTCAAGTATATGCTATTTACCATCTAAAACGAGAAACCTAAACACATCACTTAAGAGTCAGTATTAATGGTTTGCTTTTTTCCCCCTTAAACAAAAAGCACTTTGATTCAACTTTCCCCCCCAAAATAGGTTCCCTTAAAATCCATTTAAGAAAAAAAAAAAAAATTAGCGACGGTAAAGGAACTTAAAATACCCTTCTTTTTAAAACTAGGAAGAAGGTAAAATGGCGTTTTTATTGACTACGTTTCCAGAGAAGGTGGAAAATAGTGGAAGGTGCGCTTTTTACTCCAAGTATGGCACTTGAATTGGCTTCTACAGTAAACCTGCCGGGCTCCGGCAGAGAGTGTCGTTTGCCTGAAACCTATCAAGTTCAAGTGCTGACCAGAAATCCATACCTCCCTCTTGAAACCCCTGATCCAAATGACTTTCTGTAGAGGAATTTGATTCCTGACCTTAACAAAAAAAAAAAACCAAAAAAAAAAAACCTGCATTGCACCGCATCCCTCTCTCCATTCTGCACCTTCGGTTTAAAACGCGACCAAACCTTCTCTAAGGCACCGGATGCGGTAGTTCGACATAAATCCAGACAAACACATCGCCTCGGGACCTACAGGAGTGCCCCAACAGAGTCCTTAGCTCTTGCTCAAGAAAATCCCAAGCCAGAGCTACCGTCAGTATCGTCCAATCCCTCCCTGCTGGCTCCCAGAGGGAAATGTACCTGTGGAGTGCCCGCTGCGCAGCAAACAAGGCACAGCTCCAACCTCGTGTCCTCTCTCTCCCTTTTGTGTTCCTTCGCAGCCCTCCCTCCCTCCCCGGGCAGAACTTGAGCAGAGCGCTTGGCTCCCTTATCTGCCGGCTCCCGGCGCCAGGAGGACCGCACTCCCGGGAGATGCCGAGCTCGGAGGCTGAGCGCGGCGGCGCCAGGTCCCCCCCAGCGCGCGCCTCCCCGCCGCCGCGCGGGTTCCTCGCCGCCGGAGCTCCGGCTCCGCGATCCCGCGACGGGCTGTGGCACCAGGTTTGCGCCCGGCGTCCTGCCCCGCACCCCGGAGTGAACCGCACTCCCGAGCGGCCAGGGCAAGTCCGGAAGTCTCCAGGCAATTCGGGGGGTCCTTCACCCCAGCCAGCGCGGCTCCGCGCACCCCCGGACCCTGGCCGGGGAAATGCTCCCCGCTCCCTGCCCACAGCCCCCGAGGCCACGTCCCCGCCGCCGGGGACGGACTGCGAGGGAGCAGCAGTACCATTCTCCTCACGGGGCGGACTCCGGAAGGGCAGCAACTCCTCCTCCTCCTCCTCCGCGGCCTGTAGCCATCTATCGGGAAGCGTCTCCGGAGTCGGCAGCTGAGGCCGCCGGGCAGGGACAGCCCAGGGAAAGCTCAGCACGGACTCAGCTCGGGCGCTAGCAGCAGAAGCCGAGTCTTTCATAATTGTGCGACCAACTCCGCCGGGTGACCCGCCACAGGGACGCGCCCGCGCCCGCCTCCGCAGGCGACGGGGCCGCAGACGGACCACGTGAGAGGCGCGTCGTGTGCGTCGTCGCCGCCCGCCGCCCGGGTCACGTGAAGGGCGCGCGCTCCCTCCTTCCCGGCGGCCTCCCAGCGCACCGCGCGCGCACGCCGCTGGCCGCGGGTGTCTCAGCCCCTCCGCCCCCCGGGAGTCCCGAGACGGGTGGGGTGTTCTCCCCAGGTCGCCTCTGGATCCCGAGGCAGGAGCGGCAGGAACTTGTGGCTCTGCTCCGGGAATGACCCCGGAGGAAGCATTCGCTGGAGGTAAAGGTCCCAGGCCCCCCGGGATCCAGTCTGGAGTTGCCACGTGCTCTCATCTGCATTGACCTGGGCCTGGCCTCTGGCTAAGGAAGCTCTCCCGCGGCTTCTCTCAGCGCTTTGTGCCTCAGCGAGGACAGAGGCCTTCAATGGCACTCTCCTCGTCCAAAATGCAAAATCACCTTTACCCCCAGACTTGTTCTTCCAGTGGTTTCTGACAAAAATTATTCTCTCGTCTCTAACTTTGGATACCATCCTTTCCCTCCAAAGATACCGCCCACAGACACCCATGCCCCCCACACACCTTCACCAGAGACTGCGCGTGGTTCCCGGGTCCAATACATGCCTCTCTGTCTTTCCCTTTGTTATCACACCAGTCCAGGTTTGACTGTTGGTGATAGTTCACCAAATGATGCTTTTCACACATCACATTTCTGCTCCCAAAAAAAAACTTCCAGTTCCTCCACTTCAAGAGTCCCCCCCACCCCCCACACTCTGCTCTTGCCCCCTGAAGACTCGATTGGTTGAGCTGGCCCTGTGCACTGAAAGGTTACTGTTTGGATTCCCAGTCAGGGCACATGCCTGGGGTGGGGAATGGATCCCCCTGTAGGGGGCATAAGCAGCCAAAGGTTTTGCACTCCCATCAATGTTTCTCCCTCTCCCTGCCTCTCTCTAAAAAAATCAATGAATTAAAAAAAAAAAAAAAAAAAGTTCCTCTGCAACCTGACTCATAACTTTATTGGGGATATTTAGAAAGCATAGAAGCCATAAAATATGAACTAAGCCTTGAGGAAGAATTGGAAAGGTATGTAGAGAAGAAGGATGTTCCAGATAAGGAGAACACGTACACAAGGGCGGGGGAGGCATAACCCCATCATATCAACCTTTCTAAGTGTATTACTTGGTCTCCAGTAATAAACCCAAACTGCCTCTTCCCAAGGCATAATTTGAGAATGATCCTGTACTTAAAACCCTTTTTCTGTACTTAAAACCCTTCAGCATCTCCTGTTCTTTTTTTTTTTTTAAATGAGCCATCTTTTTTTTTTTAATATATTTTATTGATTTTTGTACAGTGTGGAAGGGAGAGAGATAGAGAGTCCGAAACATCAATGAGAGAGAGTCATCGATCAGCTGCCTCTTGCACACCCCCCACCGGGGATATGCCCACAACCAAGGTACATGCCCTTGACCAGAATTGAACCCGGGGCCCTTCAGTCCCCAAGCTGATGCTCTATCCATTGAGCCAAACCAGTCCCGGCCATCTCCTGTTCTTAAGACAAATCCAAATACTTAATATCTGACCCCATTTTATTTTTTTCAGTCTTATCTCTAGTCACTTCTCCTATTCTCCTTTCTACCCCCTTCAAATATCTATCTTGACTAAACTCAAAGGCACCTTCATTCAATAAATTTTTTGTCACAGAATTATTTATAACTAGAGGCCTGATGCACGAAATTCATGCAAGAGTAGCTATTCCTTCCCCTGGCTGCCAGCACCGGCTTCCCTCTGGCACCCAGAACCCAGGCCTCCCTCACAGCCCCAGTTGTCCAGAAAGATGTCCAATCTATTTAGCATATTTTTCTTTTATTATTATAGATAGCCAAGATATGGGAGCAACCTAGGTGCCCATAGATAGGTGAATGGATAAAAAAAAAAAAAGATGTGAGATAGCCTATTTAATAAAAGAGTAATACTGTATGCAAATTGAATGAACGGTGGGACTCCTGTGGCCCCTCACTCTGGCCTGCCCGTCCCCAAAGGCTCCCATTGGTGCAGGCCAACTAGACCCCACCAGTGCACGAATTTGTTCACAGAAACAGATCAAACTGATGGTTGCCAGAGGGAAGGGAAGGAAACTAGGATGGGTAAAAAAGGTAAAGGAGAATATAGTCAGTAATGTGAAAATTTTTCATGGTGACAGGTGAGTACTAGACTTAGTGAGTTGGTCACATTGTAAGGTATATAAATATTACTATATTGCATATCGGAAACTAATATATTTTATATCAACTATCTTGAATAACAATATTAAAAAAAACAAAAAAAAATTTATAAAACACTAAAAAGAAAATATCTTCTTCCACAAAAAAGTTATTTTGTTTTACTCTACCTCCAGGTACACCTCCTATCGAACCTGGGAACTTTCAGACCACAGACCGACACTCTACCACTGAGCCAAACCAGTTTCGGCTGGCCTAAGCTTTTAAGTGTCTGGTTCCCTGCTGCATGTGGAATGTAGGAAAAACTATGAGATGTCCTATAAAAAAAAGTAGAAATGCGAAGATGGTGATGTAGGTAAATGTAGTACTTGCATCCTCCTATAACCACATCACAATTACAACTAAAGCCGAAACCAGTTTGGCTCAGCAGTAGAGCAGCAGCTTGAAAGGATCCAGGGACATACAGGGAGGAATTAAATTGTCTGGCATCAGGTCAAGAACTTGGGGATAGTTATCTCCCAGACAAAAGTGTTCCCAGAGGTCATTGTTCCTGGATGAAATCTCCTCAGCTGCAGAGCTGACTGGCAGGTTCTATATCTGAGTCTCCATCAACTGGTGATTTCCTGACCTGGTGATTCCTTGAGACTTTACTCCACCCAATTTGCAGCCCCACCCAAGCTGCTTGCAGCAGCTTTTCCTTATGAATGGCCTATCTTGCCTTAGGCTTCAGATTTTCTTAAAATCTCTCAAACAAGTAGCAGTTGGATTCAGCATGCTCTATACCTCTTGATAAGCAGCCCCAGGCCTGCCCCGAGCAGCAGCCTGCCTGGGTTCACAGTTTGGCCTATCCTAGACACCTCCAAGCCCAACACAGAGGCAGCTGTCTGCAAATCACTCTGTAACTTGTGCTGGTTGGCCCCAGGCAGGGAACAAGCAGTGGCTGACTTTGCACCTCCTGGGAGACCCCAAAGCACCTGTAGGACAGCATCAGACCAAAAACATATAAACATGGTTTTGAATTCTGTATCAAAATGAATGCCAGATTACAATTCTACACATCCACAAGTAACACACTCGAGGAGCAGACTTGGTGAGCACCAAAGTCCCACTAAAGCAAGTCCTGTACCATAGGAGCTCTCCTGCACAGCAGTTCTTCCACCATGGTTGCAGCTAGTTTTTATAGCCAATTAGCCTGGAGGTCAATTCATCCCAGTGATGTCAACAACAAGAAAGGCTCAACTACAATAAGACAGTTCAGCACTAGACAGTTTGGCTCATGGATAGAGCATTGGCCTGTAGACCAAAGGATCCTGGGTTCAATTCTGGTCAAGAGCACGTACTTTGGTTGCAGGCTTCTTCCCGGCCCAGGGCTCATGTAGGAGGCAACCAATCGATGTGCACACATCAATGTTCCTCTCTGTCTTCCCATCTCTCTTCCATTCTTCCTAAAAAATCAATGGAAAAATATCCTCAAGTGAGGATTAACAAAACAAAGACAGGGCGCACAGCCCACACAGTGACAGACTTAGAGTGCTCAACTCAGGTGACTAAGGAGACTGAGCCACTGGGACCTCTAGGACATCTGCTACACAAGGCCACTTTGCCAATTCCAGGAGACATAGCAGCTCTAACTAATATAATACATAGAAACAAACCCAGGAAGCAGCCAAAATGTGGAGACAAAGAAACATGTCATAAATGAAAAAATGGAAGAAAGCAAACTACTGGATACAGAGTTCAAAACCATGGTTATAAGGTTCCTCAAGAATCTTCATGAGATTTCAAGGATCTTAGTGAGAATGTAAAAGACATGAAAAAAAGACCTGTCAGAAATTAAGCATACATTAAGTGAAATAAAGAATAATTTACAGTGATTCAATAGTAAAGTAGAAGATTCTGAGAATCAAATCAACAATTTGGAATATGAGGAAGTAAAAAACACCCAAGCAGAGGGACAAAACAGAAAAAAAATAATACAAAAATATGAAGATAGTATAAGGAGCATCTGGGACAACTTCAAGTGTACCAACATTCGCATTATTGGTGTAGCAGAAGGAGAAGAGAGCCCTAACCAATTTGGCTCAGTGGATAGAGTGTCGGCCTGCGGACTGAAAGGTCCCAGGTTCGATTATGGTCAGGGGCATGTACCTTGGTTTCAGGCACATCCCCAGTGGGAGGTGTGCAGGAGGTGGCTAATTGATGTTGCTCTCTCATCGATGTTTCTAACTCTATCCCTCTCCCTTCCTCTCTGTAAAAAATCAATAAAATACATATTTTTTTAAAAAGGAGAAGAGAGAAAGCAAGGTATTGAAAACCTATTTGAAGAAATAATGACAGAAAACTTCTCCCACCTGGTGAAAGACATAGACTTAAAAGTCCAGGAAGGGCAAAGTCCCAAACAAGAGGAGCCCAAAGAGGACCACACCAAGACACACCATAATTAAAATGCCAAAGGTTGCCGAAATCGGTTTGGCTCAATGGATAAAGCCTCGGCTTGGGGACTGAAAGGTCCCGGGTTCGATTCCGGTAAAGAGCATGTACCTTGGTTGCGGGCATATCCCCAGTAGGGGGTGTGCAAGAGGCAGCTGATCGATGACTCTCTCTCATCGATGTTTCTAACTATCTCTCTCCCTTCTTCTCTGTACAAAATCAATAAAATATGTTAAAAAAAAAAAAATAAAATGCGAAAGGTTAAAGACAAACACAGAATCTTAAAAGCAGCAAAAGAGCCGGGACCGGTTTGGCCCAGTGGATAGAGCGTCGGCCTGCGGACTGAAAGGTCCCTGGTTCGATTCCGGTCAGGGGCATGTACCTTGGTTGCGGG